TGACCTTCTATGCACTAGGCTGAGGGGTGTGAATAATAAATATGGTATGCATTACACTTGGAGATTCGCTTTGGTCCAAACCGCAGTTCATCAGAATTTTTGCTGATTGGAAGAATAGTCGAATTCCCAAACTCCATCCTGAAATATAACTGAATCGTGACCCAACTGTTCATTTGATTTGTGATTCTGAATTCCGCTGAGATGGCGGTAAAGTGCTCTTATGTCACGGCTTACCTTGGTGGGAGTCTGATATGCAGAGATATGCTCACCCTTGCAATTAAACACAGACCAAGGTGGTCAGGGAAGAACTCACCTGGCCTGTGAGTCTGTGCACGGGGGCTGTGCAGGATGATGCTCCAAGTCGCAGTACAGATATGGACATAAAAAGGAGAATCGTTGTGGGTAAGCCAAAGGTCAGTGGGTGCCAGAAAGCAGGATAAACGAGTAAAGAGCCGAGATCAGAGAATGCCAGAAGCAGGGCTGGACTGGGGATTCCAAAGCAGCCCTGGAAAAAAATATCTATGCCAGCCCCATAAGTCATTGCGCCATATATTGTCGCATGTAATATGTAAGGCTATGTCTTGCCACCCTAGATGATTGATATATATATATATATATATATATATATATATATATAAAACACAAGATCCAGCGCACTCACCTATCCACTAAACAGCAACTTCAATGTTGAAAGATTTTATTTTTTTTAAAAACACCTAATCTAGGCAAAAATAATGGGGGTTTAGTTACATTATATGATCATACATTGCATAAGCCTGCCACAACGTCAATGTACCCCATCTTTGGCAGGTCCTACACTAACAGCCTAATGTCTGCTCTTATGAGATTAACCACTTACTTGAGGAAAAAAATTCCATCTGGGGCTCTCTGCAGTACAAGGCTAAATAGGGCCCTGGGATGAGGCACCTGTGACAGGGAGGGGTGCAAAACCAAGGAGTTGGCTAGACTCCCAAATATGTAAGGCTGTAATATGTAAGGCTATGTCTTGCCACCCTAGATGATTGATATATATATATTTGTGTGAGGGGCAAATAAGGCCGTAAAGGAAATAAAAAGGGGAGGGGAATAAGTCGGTTGTGGTGTGCCGGAACCGACGTCGTGGTAGGCCTGTAATAAAAGAGGGCCCACCCATGAGGTTTAATGAGAAGTATAAATAATGGGAGTGGAGGGTGGGGACATGCAAATCGTCAAAAACAAAACGGGATTGAGGAAGGTGAGGAGAGGGTTTAAATAGGTCAACATGCCCCTCCCACAACTGCAGGCCAAGCCTTCACATTTGTGTGAGGGGCAAATAAGGCCGTAAAGGAAATAAAAAGGGGAGGGGAATAAGTCGGTTGTGGTGTGCCGGAACCGACGTCGTGGTAGGCCTGTAATAAAAGAGGGCAAAAAGGAAATCTGTTTAAAAGCAATCAACAACCTTAAATAACCTATCTGAATGGTAAAAGCTGAGTGAGTAATGAGGTGCCCGGCGCTTTCAACGGCCCTCTAACTTGTGCATGGGGAAGTAAGGAAAACATGTTGGCCATCTAGCGTAAACTGGGAGTGGGGTAGAGACGGTAAACAATAGACTGCAAAATAGGTGAGATTTCTTGGGACAGGGCTGCAAAATAAATAAGTAAACGTGGTGACTGTGGGAGATATGTGTGTCCACGAGAAACTGTACACCGGCTTGACAACTAGACTACCTAGTAACCCAGCTGAAAAGACTAGCGACCCCCAATTCCGGCCTACCTCACATCTGATTAAACTGTTGATCCAAAAGAAGGCGAAAAACCCAGTTTGATGCGCTTTCCAATTTGCAACAAGCTAGGGAAAAATTCCTTCTTGACCCCAGAATGGCAGTCGGATTTATCCTTGGATCAAGCAGATATCGCCCTACATAGAAAATTGATGCCCGGCCGTGATGACAAGTGTAATATAGGTCTGATAGTAATTATAAAAAACTTGGGTGTAGATGGGAAATCCAGAGATTGAAAATTCCCAGAACTTGAAACCTTGAGTATGGTAATAAACTGGTATGGCGACATGGAAAAGCGTGTGACTAGAAAACCTGTACCACATGTGAAGTTATAGACCGGATAGGTAGAGTGATGCAAGTAAGAGGTGGCAAAAGAAGCGAAAGTCAATCGCGGACAACATATCAACAAAGCCAGTACACGTGATACGTAAGACATGAGCCTCGAAGGGGAAGAAGGACCGAAAAACCCAGGCACTGCAAGTGCTAGGAAAATGAGAGCCATACGTGAAAGAAAGGCAAAAACACGAGTTTACAAAGCTGGCAGCCCACGAACAAGCCCAGAAAACCAGGAATGGAAGCGACTGCGGGAGAGGCCATAGGCAGGGCCACATTAAAAAAAAAGGTAGGCATAGCCAAAACTCCACAGGGCAATGAGAACCAGACCCAGACCTGCTAGAAAAAGACGAAAAAGACCCCGCACAAGCGACCCAACATGCGCGTGAGCGAGAAAGAGTGTATGTGTGTGTGGGCTGGCATACTAGCTAATGCCAAAAGGCGAAACAATTAAAAACTAGGTTTGGTGACAGGTGAGGCCCTGCTAGATGCCAAGCGGCGTGAGAGGCTCTATCTATGCGTTGGCGCGAGGGGATAGCATGGCCACTGAAACGTTGTGGCGGGGTGTTGGCCTCTCGGTGACGGTTAAACATAAGATAGAGTGGGAGTGACAGGTGAGGCCCTCTCTATGCAATAGTGCGAGGCGACTAACTATGATTTGGCCCGAGGGGCGTAGTACCTCCGAGTATGAGGATGGGTGTTGGCCTCGCGGGACCACTAATCTAAGGCGAAGAAGCCAGGGGGGGGGAAACTACAAACTAGTGGACACCTAAGACCCTTACAGCCAGCCACAGCTAACTAAGAGGGGAGGGAAGGCAGTGTGAGAGGACAGATGTGCTGAAACGTGTATTGAAACCTGTGAGGGTGAACGAGGAAAACCGCAGTGCCGACCGTAACTGAAAGCAGAGTAAGCACGACCGAGTCCGGGTGGACAGGCTGAAAGGAGCAAGCTCGGCAGTAGGTAACAGAAGCTGTGGTGGTGTAAACCCCATGGGGGTTCACGAGACCCAGTGCGAGTGTGTGCGTGTGTGTGAGCGCTAGCATACTAGCTAAGCCAAAAGGCGAAACAATTAAAAACTAGGTTTGGTGACAGGTGAGGCCCTGCTAGATGCCAAGCGGCTAGAGAGGCTCTATCTATGCGTTGGCGCGAGGGGATAGTGTGGCCACTGAACGTTGTGGCGGGGTGTCGGCCTCTCGGTGACGGTTAAACATAAGATAGAGTGGGAGTGACAGGTGAGGCCCTCTCTATGCAATAGTGCGAGGCGACTAACTATGAGTTGGCCCGAGGGGCTTAGTACCTCCGAGTATGAGGATGGGTGTTGGCCTCGCGGGACCACTAACCTAGTCAAAGAAGCCAGGGGAATTACAGCTAGTGGACACCTAGGACCCTGACAGCCAGCAACAGCTAACTAAGATGGAAGGGCAAAGAGCGAGAGAGGGGACGTACTGTGTGAAAGAAAAAGAGAGGGCGGGGAATGAAAAAGAAGCGAAAGGGGCAACCGCGACTGGAGGGCAGAGTGAGCCCGACGGAGTCCAGCCAAATAGAATGGAAAAGGAGAGTGGTATACCGTGTGCACATATGTCGGGCACAGATTGTCGTTTGTGCAGAATATGTGAACCAAAAGTTACAGTTTACACAACTTGTTTAACAATATGTTCTATCCCTCTGTGCACCAGCAGACAGGCAAGTCTAACGACAAAGTGAGTGTACCATGGGTGAGAGGGTGAGTGTCCCACAAGTCAGAGGAAGGAACACGTGAGTGTGTTATACATCTCGTCTAACTGTCGGTTCCCCCAGCCTGTAGTTTGTACACAGCAAACCATGCGGATACTTTAACAATGAATGCAGGGTAAAAGCTCCAGCATTCTATCCGTTGTCAACGTTTTGGCATATAAGGGGTAAAAGTTATTTCTTTCGGGGATATCAGTTCGAGTTCCACACTGGGATTAGTCTCATCAGAACCTGCATGGATGTGTTACCTTAGAAAGCATCCAGAAACTCGAAATTATTTGGAAACAGTAAGATTCCAGCCGAGGAATGTTGGAAACTGAAAATAGAAAACATATCTAGTCAAATATCTAACACATACAGGATCTCTCACACTGCATGCTCACTGGCTGCACTGCATGTAGATCCCACATTGCAGTGTGCGATTATGTATCACATTATAGGAGAATCCATGAATTGCCATGCTAAAATATAGGTGTGTATATTTCACATTTTCCCTATATTAACATTAGAAATTCTAGCATTGTCTGACTATGAATTCGGTTTAGAATGAGATGTTTTGCATTGTAATAATTGTTGCAGTGCACCTTTCTTATTGCAGCTTGCTTGTAAACTGTGCATAATTATTAAGTGCTTGTTATGCTTCACACAACCTCAAGCTTACATCAGCATCTTTACCCAATGTGTACTTGGAAATTGGAAGAAGATAAGGATTCAACAGGAGAGACAGAGCTAGCTAATGACTGGTACTGACAGACAAGGAGTGTGTGCAAGAGGGCACACATAAAGGTTGGCACAAGTTCAACATGCCAGCCTTCAACCCTTTGTCTGTCTGCTTAACCCTTGCAGTGCTTGAGTAGCATTCAATTCTACAACCAGCTGGCTCACAGTCAAACCTAAGAGTAATTTAATTGACTGGTCTTGTTCACATAGCACATGTATTCATTTACTGTGTCAGTAAACTCACTATGCAACATGTACTGCATAGGACATGTATCCTGTAACCAGACAACTGACCATACAACAATAAATTAATAAAAAATATACCCACTGCTAACCCAGGAGAAAAGGGTCAAGCTGCCATATAACTGGTAATTAAACAGCATACAGCGCTAGAATTACACTCCCACTACACAAAACCGACTCACTGACATTGATGGAAGGATCCTACATAGACAGATGAGCTATATCCAAGCACCTACCTCCCCCAAACGCTGCACCCGACACATGCTGGCGTGGCCGCATGGAAGTGCGACCGTCAGTGAGTGCGACGCGAAACTCGGTACAGCACCGGCGGCAGCGAGGGGGCTGACAGCCAGAAACGCTGGAGAGAGAGGAGCGGCAAGCCGAGCCGCCAGCGGAGACGAGAAGCGGCGGAGACAAGAAGGGGGCTCATTCCCTCCCCCCCCCAAGACCCGAGACCCGAGAAAAGAGCGGCAAGTACGGAGACCCATGTAAGGAGCGAGGAGCAGGAGAGAAAGGACGACCCGACATGCAAATCGTCAAAAACAAAACGGGATTGAGGAAGGTGAGGAGAGGGTTTAAATAGGTCAACATGCCCCTCCCACAACTGCAGGCCAAGCCTTCACATATATATATATATATTGCTTTTTCCAATATAAAATATTGGTAATTTCAGAGTAAAATTTTTAATTATACAGTAAGCATACTCACATGCAGACACAGGCAATCTCACTGACACAAGCTGATTGATACACAGCCTCATAGACAAACAAACACTGATATACATAAGGTCATTGACATAAAACACAAGCTCACTCAGTAGCAGGCACACACACACACACACACAAGCAAGCCCACTCATTGGCATTCGCGCACACACACACACACACACACACACACACAGCTTAATGTAGTGGCTCTGGTGTCTATAGCCTGTCCCTGCAGGCTTTTCAATGTAAACACTGACTTTTTAGAGAAAAGGCAGTGTTTACATTGCTTCCTAGTGACAGACACTCAGACGGTCACTAGAGGTGCTTCCTGTGTCAGTGCGGATTGGCTGAGATCATCAAGCTTGATGATCTCAGCCGTAGAGGCAGGACCAGTCGAGGGGAGACCAGCACGACGTGGAGGGAAAAAAAAGGTGAGTAAAAACACACATACACACACACACATACCATGACAGACACACACCATGACACAGACAGACCGTGACACAGACACACACACACCGTGACACAGACAGAAACACACACACACACCATGACAGACAGACACACCATGACACAGACAGACACACACACACCATGACAGACACACACACACACACACTAAATAACACAGACAGACCGTGACACAGACACACATTACATGACACAGACAGACACACACACCATGACACAGAGAGACCGTGACACAGACACACACACACACCGTGACGCAGACACACATTACATGACACAGACAGACACACACACCATGACACAGACAGACACACATTACATGACAGACACGCACAATGACAAAGACACACATTGCATGACACAGACAGACACACACACACCATGACACAGACACACCATGACAGACACAAACACAAATGACACAGACACACACACACATACACTCACACATAATTGCTACCTGTGTGCTGGCAGCCGCATGGGGAGCTCTGATGGCGGCCATATGGGGGAGCTGGCTCTTTTGGCGGCCGCAGAGGGAGCTGGCTGTTTTGTCTCTGCTCCCCCGCCCCAGCGTGCCGCTTAATGAGACCGGTGCCGGAATATAAGGTCATTGACATAAAAACACAAGCTCACTCAGTAGCAGGCACACACACACACACACACAAGCAAGCCCACTCACTGGCATTCGCGCATACACACACACACACACACACAGATTAATGTAGTGGCTCCGGTGTCTATAGCCTGTCCCTGCAGGCTTTTCAATGTAAACACTGACTTTTTAGAGAAAAGGCAGTGTTTACATTGCTTCCTAGTGACAGACACTCAGACGGTCACTAGAGGTGCTTCCTGTGTCAGTGCGGATTGGCTGAGATCATCAAGCTTGATGATCTCAGCCGTAGAGGCAGGACCAGTCGAGGGGAGACCAGCACAACGTGGGGGGGGAAAAAAGGTGAGTAAAAACACACATACACATACCATGACAGACACACACCATGACACAGACAGACCGTGACACAGACACAAACACACCGTGACACAGACAAACACACACACCATGACAGACAGACACACCATGACACAGACAGACACACACACAGAATGACAGACAGACACCCCATGACACAGACAGACACACACACACCATAACACAGACAGACCGTGACACAGACACACATTACATGACACAGACAGACACACACACCATGACACAGAGAGACCGTGACACAGACACACACACACACCGTGACGCAGACACACATTACATGACACAGACAGACACACATTACATGACAGACACACACAATGACAAATACACACATTGCATGACACAGACAGACACACACACACCAGGCACAGACAGACTTACCATGACAGACACAAACGACACAGACACACACACACACATACACTCACACATAATTGCTACCTGTGTGCTGGTGGCCGCATGGGGAGCTCTGATGGCGGCCGCATGGGGGAGCTGGCTCTTTTGGCTGCCGCAGAGGGAGCTGGCTGCTTTGTCTCTGCTCCCCCGCCCCAGCGCGCCGCTTAATGAGACCGGGGCGGGAATATGACGTCATATTCCCGCCCCGGTCTCATTAAGCGGCGTGCTGGGGTGGGGGAGCAGAGACAGAACAGCCAGCTCCCCCTGCGGCTGCCAAAAGAGCTCCCTCTGCGGCCGCAGGTCAGCCAGGTGCCGACGGCCCACCAGGAAATTTCCCAGTATCCCGGTGGGCCAGTCCGGCCCTGGCCAGAAGTCAGGATACACAAAATAACAATCCAAGGTCAGGAATCAACAGGAGAACACGAAACAGCAATACAAGAACCAGAGTCAATGAACTGACACTGCCCTCAGGGAGAGGCAGTGTCTTATACCTGGCTAATTGGTGATCAGCCACAGGTGTGCTGAGAATGTTGGAGCAGTCACAGAATAACGTCCAGCCCCTAGTCCAGGATTGCAAAGTACCCAGGTTCAAATCCCTCATCGGGCATTTGTGGGGTGACCTTGTCTGGATGTTGCTGTGAGAACCGTGACATCTTATCAGTCTACTGCAAAATATATACATACTTTTATATCTTGCAGTACATTGACTGACCCATATTTGCACCGTTTTGGTTTGTCTTATTTATTTCCAGATTGGGTTTTCAGTACTGAAATTCTGCTGAGTTGAACTAAAGATTACTGAAATTTGGGCTTCCTCTCCAAACAAAAATTATTTTCAGGAAAAATGGTCCAGCCAAACCTATTTCTCTTGTCATGCACAACTATAGTGTGTGCCATTTATTGCAATTTCAGATGGTACAAGCACAGTAACGCATGGTGTGACGGACCGCTGGCACTCCGACTGAGTACCTCCGCCAATCGATGCGCCTAGTGCTCGCTGAGGACTCCAAGCACTCCAACTGACACCATCAGCACTGCAGACCCCACTTCCAGCGATGCAACTGCGCCGGGGTCTCTGCTGTCTCCACTCACCCTGGACCCAAGGCCAGGATCCAGCTTCCAGTGGGTGAACCTCTCTTTCCCCAGAGAGCAGGAACAGGAACAAGCTCTTAGCAGAACTTAGTGATCATACCCTCAGGAGTATAGTGATTATAGCAATCCCCAGTGTATTTCTCCAATCCCCCAAACATGAGCCAAGGCTTAATGCTGGAACAAGACTGATTTACTGGCACACATAACTCACAATTTATGCAACACAAAACTCCTCCTCTGGGCCAGGCTAGATAATTGAGTTTCTACAATACACAAAGCTCAATTATCTGCTGGCCAGAAATAATACAGTTTCATAAAACACACAGGGACCCCAAAACATGCAATAACCCCATAAAAAGTATATCCTTGGAACCGGGGGATCTGGGTGAACCACATATCCAAAATTCACCCAGATCCGTTCAGTACTTTGGAAGATACAGTTTAATGCAGATTCTGCAGAACATATACAGGCTAAATGAAAAACAATCACTGTATAATGTGTCCCCTGCTGTATAGTCCAAAACCACTGCACGATGTCTCTGTGCACCAAATACTGGCGAGATGGCACCGTGTTGAAAAGTCCAAACAGTGTCTGTGAGTTAAAATGGCCGCCATCCATTGTTCTCACCATGTGCTTCTGATACAGGAAATGGTGGCCACCCAGTAACTCCACAGTATGTCCCCAGATGGTTCTTAAAGGGCCAGCAGCAGCACAACACAAATCCATTATGCCCAAATCATGTCTTTAAAGGGCAATACATCCCAGGGGCCATAGTCACAGGGCAAGAGGCGGGCAAGCAGTCCTCTCCAGGCACAAGTGGCGAAGGGCACTTCGTCACACATGGGTGACACACTTATCTGTGATAGCACTAACTGTTCTACATAGCTATAAAGAAATTATAAAAACATGTCGTGATTCTGAATCAAAGACACTCTTAACACTTTTAGCAGGTAAAATGTACAAATGTAAACCAAGCTTGGGATACATATCTCAAAATCATCTTGAAAATATGTTGTATGGAGCAAATCAGGAACTGTTCCTGTGATCTGAACAAAAATGATGATTCAGATTAACAAAGAAAAAGTTGTAAAACCTTTCACCTAACAATATTTCCCTTCTAGATATATGAATCAGATCGTTGTGTGTTTTAGATAAGAAGAATAAAACTGCTGTTGTGTCAGTCTGAAGTCCTTATGTAAATGAACACAATTTGGGGTAATTATTCGTTAGGTCATTTTATCTTCTAAATATGGTAGTTGGATCACAGCTGAGTTGGGTGTTAACCAATCACAGAACAGGCTATACTGAGAAGGGATTGCTTTGTTACATTTTAAGAAGTAATGGATTTCTCAGACAATGCATTCTTGACTATTCCATGGGGGAGGACAACAGTAAGAATCTTGACTATTCCATTGAGGAGGAGAACAGTAAGAATCTTGACTATTTCATGGAGGAGGAGAACAGTAAGAATCTTGACTATTCCATGGGGGAGGAGAACAGTAAGAATCTTGACTATTCCATGGAGGAGGAGAACAGTAAGAATCTTGACTATTCCATGGAGGAGGAGAACAGTAAGAATCTTGACTATTCCATGGGGGAGGAGAACAGTAAGAATCTTGACTATTCCATGGGGGAGGAGAACAGTCAGAATCTTGACTATTCCATGGAGGAGGAGAATAGTAAGAATCTTGACTATTCCATGGAGGAGGAGAACAGTAAGAATCTTGACTATTCCATGGGGGAGGAGAACAGTAAGAATCTTGACTATTCCATGGGGGAGGAGAACAGTAAGAATCTTGACTATTCCATGGAGGAGGAGAACAGTAAGAATCTTGAC